TTTTATACCAAATGAAAGCCCGTCAAAAACGGGATTTAGGAGTATAACTCGTCATTCTTAAGATGAGAATGGGCTATAGAATTATAGTCAGATTCAAGTGGTTGGACACTCACGTGGGTGGGTAGTGAATCACAAAAACACAAATTTCTCAGAAATTTTTTTGTCTATCAGGCTTTGTATAGCTCTCTTTGCTAAAAAAAGTCTTTAAATTTGATCAATAAATAATGGTACTAAGGTCAAAATACTCAAAAATATCTTAGCTATATCAACCAGAGGGTTTTGAAATTTCCAGTATTTTGACCCTAGCGCCGTTATTTATTGATCACGCTCAAAAGATTTTTTTACCAAAATGATCAGTAAAGAGAGCTCTACAAAGTTCGACAGACAAAAAAGATTTCTGATCGCCCCATGGAAAAACATTTTTGGCAACCCTGTACAACCAGAACATAACCAGCCGAAATAGGCTTTATAGATAATTTAATATTTTGATATTAGTTGAAGTACGATCAAATAGTATAGAAAGATAGAGCTTTTTTTTCTCTCTATCAGACTATATAGAAAGAAAGTTATTTAAGCCCACTATACGGTATTAAAGTGTCACTGCCCGTACTTTTGGTATGCCCTAAGTATTTTCATCATATGTCAGTAGAAATACATACTACAAAGGATTATTTGTTTGACCTAATCACCATCAGAAATATCAGGCAGAATCTTAAGAGCACTGCAAGCTAACAATTTCATAGTGTGGATATGGGATGTGCGTGTGTGTTTTTGTATCTTTTAAGCATCCACACCCATACCCAGTCTCACTAGTTTCTCATCGCCTAGATATTCACTCTGTCGATGAACAAGGTTAAATTTAATACCAAACAGGGTATCTCATTGAATTCTATCTGACTCTAATGGTTTCTTTACTAGCACAGTTCTTAAAATGAATATATGGCACAAATTCTTCATTTTTTTTTGCTAAAAGGAAGACATGAAAAATAGATTATTTTTCATTTTTAGGGGATTTCTTGCAAAAAAAGTTTTTCGAATGGCTTGTATCTGACAATAAATTTGACACACTGTCTGATGCAACTACTAGCTATTTTTCCACAAGTTTGTCGGCGAATATTTTTTCAAAAAACATCAATACACAGCCAACTTTACTGACGCATAAAATAAAAATTTTACAAAGATTGTATGTTTAAAGTACCCATATTGGTACTATTTTTGGTGCATACCTTTGCTAATTTACCAGTTCTTTTGAGGTGTTTCTATTGTGAGATATGAAATAAAGGTTAGTTGATATTAATGTGTTACCATTCGAGAAGATCACTAAGTTATATTTATCATGGGAGTCCATTAGTGTTACGCAGCATGAATCATATCGTTATATAACGAAAGACACGAAATAATCTTTTCTCATATACAGTAGAGAATGTATTAAAACATCTGCTTGACGAAACAGATATGATAAAAATTGAATTTTATGAGAATATATATCTGCTTTTCAATTTCTTTTCTATTTCGATCAGCAAATCAGCTGAAACATAAATAATTAAATTTTCAAATAATAGCGACAAGAAAGGAATCAATTTTTTTGTCAAATGAAAATATCTCTTATCCCAATCAAAGTTAAGACATTATATAGATAATAGTATTATTCATAGATCGAACAGTTATATTCGAATTTCTATTAAAAATGATTTTAATAATTACAAATAAAATCTATTCCATCAGTTATACATATGACTGTCTTTTTCCTTCAAATATTCAAAGCTTTTTTTTATTCAACATATCTAAATTTTCAATGGGAGATATGCATATATGTTTTAGATGAATAAAAAAAAATAATTTCAGTTCAACATCAAACTTTGTACAGCACATCATTTTTGAATCAAAAGTTACTCATAAGAAATCAGGTTCTATTCTCGACGGCGAATCTCTATCTCATTGTACAATTGTAAGATAATCAAAATGATTCCATGAAAGTGAAGAACAAACTATCGATTTGTAACTGAGACAGCATTCGAAAATATTGCAAAAGTTCATAGTCTTATTGATAATAACTTTCATCTTACAATTAATGAAATACAAGTGAAAACTGATCAAAATCACAAAATAATCGTGTAAATCATTTTTGGCCATATGAAGATAAAAAGCAAATTATCACTCCGTGAATATCCAATCACATTTGTTATATTCAGTGAACTAAACATATTCAGATATATCAAGAAAATTTAGCAAAAACTCAACAAATAACATGATGGTTATGTGCACACTGTGACAGGTGACAAGACAGGTTTTTATAATTAATTAACCAACCGAAAACTATTCAATTCTTCCTGGATAGCACAAGTGGAGAAACTTCATCAACTGTAGTTCGACACAATTACCTTAGCTCTACAAAAATAAAACGATGACGATCTGTCGATCATCATTATTATATTAATAATTGCTTGCAGCCTCTTATCAATGCAATTTAAAAGCAAAGATTATACTCATGTGATTAAACTTACGGTTTCAGTTTATTTTCGCTAAATATCATGTGGAATCGAAACCGTTAGATCATCAGATTGAGATGAAAATTTTCACTATTGAATTGTTTAGATTAAAGACATCATATGATTTAGTCATTAAACAAAACAATATTATAAATCTATACTGAAATCTTTAAACTCAATAAGAAAAAAATAAAGATTTCTCGATATAGATTTAAGAACTTTTATATCTTTCTAAGGATTTTATCAGTCTGATTCGGTTCCAGATTTTTGGAGTCACTGAAAAGAACTTTTTTCTTCAAACGTCGCATCAAATAGCTTGTTAGTTATTCGATCTGATCAAAAAAAGTCTGACTGAACAAAATGCCTATAAAAAACACTTTTAATAACTAACGAGGGAAGATCCTCAACTGTCCAATCGCTCTTGAGTTCGGATCCTGTGCATAAGATAAACCCCAGTGAAGTATGAAAAACTCCAAAAGGATAACGGTCCTTAGGCCTTCTGTTCAGAGTTACAGGAATTTTACTGGAATTATAGCCTATGGCATGGTATTTACCAAAATATCGAATGACGATATTTCGGGTTGAGATTTTGCCCATAGACAGGTCTAGTTATGAGTAGAATGCTCCGAAAATGTTAGCTCAAAAGAATGTTTCCTTCCCAAGATATTAAAATCTCAAAAATCACTCATATTTCACGAAAGGTGCTAGAATTTTCTGTTTTTTTGGACTTTTATATCTTGAGAAGGAAACATTCTTTTGAGCTAAAATTTTCGCGGCATTCTACTCACAACTAGACCTGTCTATGAGCAAAATCTCAACCCGAAATATCGTCATTCAATATTTTGGTAAATACCATGCCATAGGCTGTAATTCCAGTAAAATCCCTGTAACTCTGAACAGAAGGCCTAAGGGCCATTATCCTTTTGGAGTTTTTCATACTTCACTGGGGTTTATCTTATGCACAGGGTCCGAACTCAAAAGTGATTGGATAGTGGGGGACCTTCCCTCGTAAGTTCAACGATGAAACAGTGTTTGTGCATGATTGATGCGAGTATGGTTTTATTTATTTATCTTAAAGAAATATTTTGATATTTTATAATATCACATAAAAAAACTAATGTTTATTGTCAACCTTATATTAATGATACATGATCTCTATAGAGAAGACTTTGATTTATGAGGAAAATAGTCATTTGTTTACTGATAATATGAAATACGATCGTCATGTATAGCAGATATATTTATGAATAATATGTCCGATTTATTGTTATAGGGACGAGATTAAGCTATATTTTTCTTTGCTTCTGTTTGACACTATTATTTTAATGTAAAAAAAGAAATATATCAGACGCAGTTTGTTTGTTATTCTATTTATTAAATTAGACATAAGTAACATTTTGATTATTTTTTTATTTAATTAAATGAAATAAATTATGACAAGTAGAGAGAATAAGGGAAGTGAAAGTTCTTATCACATATTGCCATTATATTCCAATAAGATTCAAAGAATTTCAAGACGGAACTCTTGGCATCATATTCAATAATGGTTGATTAGGTAATGATGGCTGATAAAAAGCATCGACTACGGCGATCTATGAATATAAGATGAATATTAATCAAAATTGATTCAAGAAGAAAAAAAAATAATTAGTTTTGTATGAACTATCATTAAGCATATTGCAGTCATTGAGCAAGTCAAGTTAATATTAATATGTATTGCGTATATATATATATAAATCCTATGTCCATCCTTGAACTTGTTATATTATTGTTCATACGATATGAAATTATTTAAAAAAAAAAAAAAAAGCTATTTTTTTAATTATTGTTTGACTACAGATGCGATCATCATCTTCATCACAAAAGAAAAAAAAAAGATTACAGAGACAAATAGAAAGATATAGAGAACACGAAAAAAAAACCGAGAAAAAAACTATCTAGCCTAAAGAGAAAGGTAATACTATAAAGAAGAACGCAATGGACAGTCATCATCACTCGGTGTAATTTTCTTTTTTTTTTTGCTTTTGTCTCGATTCAGATCATACAATTATCTTATTGTTTTTAGTTTTTTTTTTTTGTTTGTTTGTATCCCATTGCGTTTTGTCATTGCCATCTATTTAATATATATATATATTATAGCACCGCTTGACTGTGACAGACTGATTTTGTAGAGAGAGCGACAAAAAATGAGAAAATAAAAGAGAGAAATTATTCTGTAACGTACAAAAAAAGAGAGAAAAAGAGATTCTTTATCACACGATTGCAAAAAAAGAGAAAAAGACAAAGAACAAAAGACACACACACACTCTAAATGCGCACGACGTTGTGTGAATAAGAGAGCAACAGAGAAGAAACAAGGATAAATATTGACAAAAAAAAAAGAATCAAACAGATTAGAAGGATTATGTGTAGATATATGTATATATTTATATATATACGGGCCCGCCGAAATATTTATTATTTATATTGTTTATCTGTTGCTCATATTATTTTGGTTTTTTTATTAATTGTCTAAAGTTGGGTATCTTCAAAGGTTGGTGATGATGGTAGATGATTATCAGTCATAGTTGTGTTAGTAGTTATAATAGGATTAAGAGAATGAGGACGAATAAGAGGTCGATTGTCGTAATAAAACGAGGTTAATTTGGGCACAGTAGCGGCTCGTAGCCGATCTAATGTCGCATATTCAGGCGGTTGTCGATCGATTGAATCTTGAAATGCTTTTATCACACGAAGCTAGAATAACCCGAATAAAGAAAAAAAAAAAACTTCTAAACATTTAAAAAACAAAAGTAAAATTTCAATACGACACACAATGGATAAATTATTGAGACAGGACAAAAGCTAGATAAACATATATATATTATATATATATATATATATATAAAGCAGTAAAATAAGCGAAAATATTTAGCAGCAATCATAGCAAACAACATTGAAAGCAACAATTTTTTGTGTTTATGTCATTATGAAAAAAAAAGTATTCCGACTTTTTTTTTTTTTTTTGTTCTGCAATTAGCTGAATGTTATTAGACACACAAATAACTGTGGTTAAATGGAAAAAGGGTGAAAAAAAAAATAAAGAACACGAAAAGGGATTTTAAAACTAAATAGGTGGATCAAACCTCGAAAGATATGAACAGACATGCTGGACATATGTATGATATTTTTAGGATGAAGAGAATAATAGCACATAGGTGCTTTTTTGATATGGATGATGATATGGTTACCATTGGGAAGACGGCGATTTGGCAATATGTTCTTGGAAAGTTTTAACGACTTGTACCTGTCAGAGCGATTATAGATAGATAAGAATAAAGGAACATAGAAGAAGAAGCTACAAAATTTTTCTTTTTTTTTTGTGCTTTAAATCTAAGTTAATTTTAAAATAAACGAAACCAAACACCAGCAAAAAAGATGTTTTTTTTTTTTTTTTAGTAACTATATGATTAAGGTTTTCTTTACAAACCTGTGTTTGAAGACGTGTTATTCCTCTTAACCAAAGTATTTGTCCTTTTGTTAAACTTGTTCCTGGTCTTGATTGTCCTTCTGGACCTAAATCAGCGGGTAATGTTTGACTATAAACTTCACCTGATCCCCATTTCGGCATATGACGTGTCACCGGGATCAAATTAACAATCTAAATCAAATCATATATATATATATATTTAATTTAGTTTTTTTCTTAATAAATTTTTTGAAAGAAAATCTTTACTTGATTCCATACAAGTACTGTAACACCAAAAAATAGACACCACATCCATTGATCAAATGTTAATGCAACACATGCAAATGCAAATGAACCATATTGAACAAGAAGAATTTGTACAACAAATGTAACTATCCATATACCATAAAAAATAGGATTTGTAAATATTCCTCGAAAAACATTTTTTTCTCCATGAATTTTTCGACAATTTATTTCATTGAATAATGTCATTAAAACAAATACATTAAATATCATTGTAAAATGTTCAGATGGTTTAAATATATTATTTACTGGACGACCATCATCCATATCAAATACTGTAGGTCCTTTAATTTAAAAACAATGGCAATTTCAGAAATATTCTTTTTTTTTTTGTGAAAGATCATCTAAAACCATATGTTGAATTATACGGGTTAAAATTCGGATCATCCCTTCTCTACAGATCGTATATTGTTAATGTTTTGTTAAGGCGTATGCAATAGGGATGCACCAATCTTATGCACAGCTTTACACTATTTCGAGATCTAGGAATGCGAATCTATAGAAAATTTATTCGAAATTTTCTCATTTGAGAAAGATTTACGACTGAAATCTCTCGACTAATACATCAGTTTTGAAAGCGAAGACTGTATGTGTTATGTAGAACTAAATACTTTGAAAACAGTTGAGACTCATAGCTTATTTCTGCATGTTGACCATAGTTTTTAAGTCAATAATGCTATAGTACCCCGTCAGAAACACTAAGAAAAATTATTTTCAAGTTTCGATTTGAAACTTTCCATAGAGACAGTCCTTAACGAGAATACTTTCTTGAGATCTTATCATTGTTCTTACATCATTCATATATAACAGTAGATTTAATGTTCTTATAAAGAAAGACTACGGCATTTAATTAACAACTGCCATAAATTTCTAGTATCTACGCAACAACTAAACTATAGATCCAAACTCTTTTCTTCATGATATTCAAAACTCATTCGAGTCTACATGATACATATATAGTGCCAATCGAAACATGCATGTTTATATCAGTACATCTCTGATCACTATCACTGTTGTATCCCTAATGTTAATTAGTTCGTTATTACATTTCTAGAGAACTAAATACAAGGATAATGAAAAAAAATGTATCTCAAAATAGAGCAATTTTCATATGATTATCACCAGAAGTTATATCATGTTTCACATATTTAATTCCTTCGAGATTGTGCTTGTAAGAATTTTTCTTATCTTACCAGCAAATAAAATAAAAAGCATAACAGCTAATTGATAAATAGCATGACCAAGAATATTTTTCATCATTGTTCTTGAGATTAACGGTCGTGTACGTCCATAAGGTTTACGTGTTAATAATTCTTCAGTTGGTACTTCCGTAGCAAGTGCTAATGATGCTAAGGTATCCATAATTAAATTAACCCATAACATTTGTACAGCACGTAATGGAGATTCTTTTACAATACATGCACCAATAAAAGCACAAAATACAGCAACAACATTAACAGTTAATTGAAATTGAAGAAATTTTGCAATGGAATCATAAACATTACGTCCCCACATAACTGCTTTAACAATTGAATTAAAATTATCATCAACAAGTATTATATCTGAAGCTTCTTTTGCTACATCGGTACCTTGTATACCCTATAATATAAAATATAATAAATAATCGAATCGATTAGACCCCCGCCCCCCCCCCCCCCCCCCCCCCCACCCCCCCCCCACCCCCACACGCACGCCACACGACACCCACCTGTCGTGTACCCACTGACGGGAATCTAC